TGTTTATTTTTATGGGACTCAAAAAATGACAGAACAGCGCCACCTACAACAGCCAAAATAATACCCCTATGGGACTTTTCGGAGGTCAAGTTTGTCGTATCAACATGAGATTTGGTACACATGTTCCTCAAGTCAAGACAAGAAAAAAATATAATTATGGCCCCGCCCCCTGACAAACAGGAAGCCCATAAATTTCACTGCAAAATGGAAAAATGAACAGCAAAAGTTTTCATACATGTCGGTTGGAAAGCGACTCCTCCTCGGCCGTTTCACCGATTCGCCTCAAAATCGCTCCACATCATCTCAACACATGTACCTTCAAAATGACTTCAGGGATTTTTGATTAGTGAAACATTGTTCAAGCAGCGGAGCGGCAAAATGTGACCTTTTTTTGGCCGTTTTTGACAACATTAAATTTGCTCCCGTTTGCACATACAAAGTCCGATTAGCACAAAACTTTAATACATTGTTCAGCTCTAGGGTCTAGGTCATTTGAAAGTTAAATGATTCCAATTGACTCATTAGCGCCCCCTACAGACTATTTCAAAGTTTTAGATGGGCATTTTCAAATTTAGATTTTTCAAAATGTTTTGAAATTTTGCACAAAAATCTGTTTTGCCCTCTTGATTCAAAAAGTCAATAGGGTCCAAGGCTTATTTTTTAGCCTGTTGCCGTGGCGACGACAAACGCTCCCCATTCATTGCAAATGTACACCTCACACAAACATCAAACCAGCCTCGGCCGTTTCACCGATTCGCCTCAAAATCGCTCCACATTATCTCAACACATGTACCATTAAAATGACTTCAGGGAATTTTGATCAGTGAAACGTTGTTTGAGCAGCGGAGCGCCAAAAAGTGGCGTAATTTTTTTCCGTTTTTGACAATAGAAAATTTGCTTCCGTTTGCACAAACAAAGTCTGATTTGCACAAAACTTGAATCCATGGTTCAACTCTTGGGTCTAGGTCATTTGAAAGTAAAAATTTTGAAATTGGCTCTATAGCGCCACCTACAACAGCCAATATAAAAATTCCTAAGGGTGGGGTTTGAGGTCAAAATTGTCGTAGAGCCATGTAATTTGGTACACATATTCCTCAAGTCAGGACATGGAAAAAATGTTATTATGGCTAAGCCCTCTGACAAACAGGAAGCCCATAAATTTCATTGCAAAATGGAAAAATGAAAACCAATCATTTTCATACATGTCGGTTGGAAAGCGACTCCTCCTCGGCCGTTTCATCGATTCGCCTCAAAATTGCTCCACATCATCTCAACACATGTACCTTCAAAATGACCTCAGGGATTTTTGATCAGTGAAACATTGTTCGAGCAGCGGAGTGGCAAAATGTGACCTTTTTTTGGCCGTTTTTGACAAGATTAAATTTGCTCCTGTTTGCACAAACAAAGTCTGATTTGCATTAAACTTGAATCCATTGTTCAACTCCAGGGTTTAGGTCAGGTGAAAGTGAAATATTTTAAATTGGCCCATTAGCGCCCCCTAAAGACTGAGTCAAAGTTTACATGGGGAGCCAAACCAGCTCTACTTATCATATTCATTACAATTTGACTAACAATCATCTATGGCTACGGAAACAAATCATCACACAACGGCGCCACCTCCTTTGAGCGGTGCTGCGTGGTACGGTGTGGTGCGGTGTAGTGCGGGGCGTTGTGGAGCGGCGCATTGCGGCTTGGTGCGGGGCGGCGTGAGGCGGGACAGCGTGGTGCAGGGCGGCGTGGTGCGGGGTGGCTTGGTGCGGGGCGGCGTGGAACGGGGTGGTGCGCGCGGTGCGGGGAGTCGCGCGGTGCGGCGAGGGCCGTTTGACGCCGCTTGCGGCTTTAATTTATTTCTTTCTTTCTTTCTTTCTTTTTTCTTCTGCACTTTGAGCCTTAATTTGACCCCCTGAATATGCATGAAAAGTTGTAAATTTTGGCCCAAAAATCAGACCTGGCGAAAAATTTGATATTTTGGTGTTTATTTTTATGGGACTCAAAAAATGACAGAACAGCGCCACCTACAACAGCCAAAATAATACCCCTATGGGACTTTTCTGAGGTCAAGTTTGTCGTAGAGCCATGAAATTTGGTACACATGTTCCTCAAGTCAAGACAAGAAAAAAATATTATCATGGCCCCGCCCCCTGACAAACAGGAAGCCCATAAATGTCACTGCAAAATGGAAAAATGAACAGCAAAAGTTTTCATACATGACGGTTGGAAAGCGACTCCTCCTCGGCCGTTTCACCGATTCGCCTCAAAATCGCTCCACATCATCTCAACACATGTACCTTCAAAATGACCTCAGGGATTTTTGATCAGTGAAACATTGTTCGAGCAGTGGAGCGGCAAAATGTGACCTTTTTTTGGCCGTTTTTGACAACATTAAATTTGCTCCCGTTTGCACAAACAAAGTCTGATTTGCACAAAACTTTAATACATTGTTCAACTCTAGGGTCTAGGTCGTTTGAAAGTGAATTAATTCAAATTGACACATTAGCGCCCCCTACAGACTATTTCAAAGTTTTAGATGGGCATTTTCAAATTTAGTTTTTTCAAAATGTTTGAAATTTTGCACATAAATCTGTTTTGCCCTCTTGATTCAAAAAGTCAATTGGGTCCAAGGCTTATTTTTTATCCTGTTGCCGTGGCGACGACAAACGCTCCCCATTCATTGCAAATGTACACCTCACACAAACATCAAACCAGCCTCGGCTGTTTCACCGATTCGCCTCAAAATCGCTCCCCATCATCTCAACACATGTACCATCAAAATGACTTCAGGGAATTTTGATCAGTGAAACGTTGTTTGAGCAGCGGAGCGCCAAAAAGTGGCGTATTTTTTTTCAGTTTTTGACAATAGAAAAATTGTTTCCGTTTGCACAAACAAAGTGTGATTGGCACAAAACTTGAATCCATGGTTTAACTCTTGCGTCTAGGTCATTTGAAAGTTTAAATTTTGAAATTGGCTCTATAGCGCCACCTACAACAGCCAATTTAAAAATGCCTATTGATGGGTTTGAGGTCAAAATTGTCGTAGAGCCATGTAATTTGGAACACATGTTCCTCAAGTCAAGACATGGATAAAATGTTATTATGGCTAAGCCCTCTGACAAACAGGAAGCCCATAAATTTCATTTCAAATTGTAAAAATGAAAACCAATCATTTTCATAAACGTCGGTTGGAAAGCGACTCCTCCTCGGCCGTTTCATCGATTGGCCTCAAAATTGTTCCAAATCATCTCAACACATTTACCTTCAAAATTACTTCAGGGAATTTTAATCAGTCAAACGTTGTTTGAGAAGTGGAGCGGCAAAATGTGAGGGTTTTTTTGGCCATTTATGACAACATACATTTTTCCCCGTTTGCACAAACAAAGACTGATTTTCATTAAACTTGAATCCATTGTTCAACTCCAGGGTTTAGGTCAGGTGAAAGTGAAATATTTGTTTACATGGGGAGCCAAACCAGCTCTACTTATCATATTCATTACAATTTGACTAAGTTCTTCTATGGCTACGGGAACCAATCAGCACACGGCGGCGCCACCTCCTATGCGTGGTGCTGCGTGGTACGGTGTGGTGCGACGTAGTGCGGGGCGTTGTGGAGCGGTGCGTTGCGGCTTGGTGCGGGGCGGCTTGGTGCGGGGCGGCTTGGTGCGGGGCGGCGTGGTGCGGGGCGGCGTGATGCGGGACGGCGTGGTGCGGGGTGGCTTGGTGCGGGGCGGCGTGGAACGGGGTGGTGCGCGCGGTGCGGGGAGTTGCGCGGTGCGGCGAGGGCCGTTCGACGCCGCTTGCGGCTTTAATTTTTTTTATGACCTCCCGCGGCCCCCCTGCAGTACCCTCTTTGGGAGACACTGGCCTAGAGTCCTGGATCTACAGTCTGGAGTCCTGGATCTACAGTCTCAGTCCTGGATCTACGACGTCAGTCCTTGATCTACGACCTCAGTCCTGGATCTACAGCTGGTCCATCTGCGGGAGCGGATATTTCTCAATCTAGGCCTTCCCGAGGTTTCTCACTTTTTTGCCCATTGGGTTTTTGAGAGGTTCCTCGAGGGTCTAAGGACAGTGAGGATGATGCAGGACTTTCTCGTCATTCAGCAATATTTCTGGACAGTGGTCATCTCGCTTCCTATGGCTCAAATCTTAATATTTATTCAAACTGTTTCATCCTGTTTGATGGTGAATCCCAGACCACTGATGTTATGATTTAAGACTAAACACAAATTAATTTAATTGAACTGAATTTGTGACATAAAGCTGGAGAATTGAGGAACCTTGTCCATGCATTCTGGAATTTATAGTAGGAGAATGGCCGGGCGATAGAGGAAAAAAGTTACATATTGTGTTATAGCCCGCTTTGGTTCAAAAAAATTCAAAATAGAAATTATTTAAAGTCACCAAACTGTTGAATGGAAAAAGCTAAAATATTTGAATTTCAAGTACATTTTTGAGCTCCATCCCAAACAATCATGAAAGTATTCTACAAACGCTGACATCACAAATATAATCAATGTCGTGCCTTTTCTAAAAAACTCGTCTTTGTGGACTGCCCTGTTGTATACACTCAACGCACCAATCAGCTAAACTACAGACCCCGAGGAGGAGAGGCCAGGGGAAAATTTATCCTGACCTCAAATTCTGGATGTATTGCTTGGCTCTACGCAAGATTGCAAAACTTACTCAAAATACAACAATATCATTCAAATCTCATGATGCCCATTCAGAATAATATCTCGTTTATCTGTGCATAGACTCCTTTCGTCTTTCATTTGAGCTTTTTCAGACACTTCCTGCTGGATAATTTACTTTTAGACACGAGCTTTATGAGAAAATATTAATTCAAGCTGTGTCTGAATGTCCTCCCTATTCCCTGAAACCTTATTCACTCTATAGTCTCACATTGATTTGTTCAATTTGAGAAAAGTAATTGAGCAGAAGGACCAGTGCAGAGCGGGGAACCAGGCACGACCGGAGGACCAGTGCAGAGTGGGGAACCAGGCATGACAGGAGGACCAGTGCAGAGCGGGGAACCAGGCATGACAGGAGGACCAGTGCAGAGCGGGGAACCAGGCACGACCGGAGGACCAGGGCAGAGTGGGGAACCAGGCATGACCGGAGGACCAAGGCAGAGCGGGGAACCAGGCATGACCGGAGGACCAAGGCAGAGTGGGGAACCAGGCATGACCGGAGGACCAAGGCAGAGTGGGGAACCAGGCATGACCGGAGGACCAGTGCAGAGTGGGGAACCAGGCATGACCGGAGGACCAAGGCAGAGTGGGGAACCAGGCACGACCGGAGGACCAGGGCAGAGCGGGGAACCAGGCACGACCGGAGGACCAGTGCAGAGCGGGGAACCAGGCACGACCGGAGGACCAGGGCAAAGTGGGGAACCAGGCACGACCGGAGGACCAGGACAGAGTGGGGAACCAGGCATGACCGGAGGACCAGGGCAGAGTGGGGAACCAGGCATGACCGGAGGACCAGGGCAAAGTAGGGGACCAGGCACGACCGGAGGACCAGGGCGAGGGACCAGGTACAACAGAAGGACCGGGACAAAGCGGAGGACCAGCGCAATTGCAAGACCAGGCCCAACAGGAGGACCAGGAACGACTGGAGGACCAGGAACGACTAGAGGACCAGGCCCAACTTGAGGATTAGGCCCGACCAGAGTTGATCAGGCCCGACCAGAGTTGATCAGGCCCGACCAGAGTTGATCAGGCCCGACCGGAGGACCAGGCCCGACCGGAGGACCAGGCACAAGTGGAGGACCAGGAACGACTGGAGGACCAGGCCCGACAGGAGGACCAGGCACAAGTGGAGGACCAGGAACGACTGGAGGATCAGGCCCGACCAGAGGACCAGGGAAGACAGGAAGACCAGGCACGATCGTAGGACCAGCCACGACACGAGGACAGAGTAAAAAGTGAAAAAGAATTTGCTGATGGACAAAGCATGGTGTCCCCAACAGAGCAGCAGAGACAAAATAAATACTAAACAAATCTGACATTGAAGTTTTAATAATATTAATCCTACAAGTTTGAGCCGAAACGGTTTTAATCAAACATCACAATGGAGTGGATTTTCAGAACAAGATTTAAACTCGTAACCCTCAAGCGTGCATAGTTCTTTATTTTTTAATGACGCAGACAGAAGCTGGAGCCCTGGAACTTTCCGAGGGAAGGATTTCTAAAACCAATAACAGAGAAACAAGCAAAAGATGAAAGAATAACGTCAAAAAACAAGGTCACTGTATAGAAAGTGTCCTGGATTTTGGAGATTGTGTAAAAATGTGGACATTCTTGTATATTTTAGACTTACAGTTTTCTACAAAGCAACATTTGGACACCCCCTAAAAAGATTCCCCTATAGTTCAATGAAATATATTAATCCATTCAGGCGCTAAACTGCAAGAAAAGTTTATATGTGTAGCAGAGATGATACACAAGGCAATACAAGGACAGTGCATTAAAGAGCCTAAAGGTACAATCATTCAGTTGTAGAAGCTAAACAGAATTTGAACATTGTCAGAGTAGAAACCTGTCTAAGATTTTCAGGAAGACTGTTTCCTGTGCTCCTCAGAGTCCCAGCAGGAGGCCAGTCCCTGTGATCCTCAGAGTCCCAGCAGGAGGCCAGTCCCTGTGCTCCTCAGAGTCCCAGCAGGAGGCCAGTCCCTGTGATCCTCAGAGTCCCAGCAGGAGGCCAGTCCCTGTGCTCCTCAGAGTCCAAGCAGGAGGCCAGTCCCTGTGCTCCTCAGAGGTTGGTTCGACTTTTGTGCGAGGCCATGGAGAGACTGCTTTAAAGTCTGTTCTCTTTAAACCACAGGTGCAGAGATCTAAGACCAAGACTAAAATGATGGTACTTCCTGGTTCTAGTCCGGGCTAATCACTTGATAGATATAGCTCTGAGCAGGGATTGGTGTGTCTTGGGGGACTTGGCCGACTGGACGGAATGCAAAACCACAAAGTGATCCTTGTCTTTGTCCATTTCAACGATAACGCCGAAGGTTTACGGACTCGACAACACGCAACATCCCTTCCATCCCTCCTCACTGTCCGTTTGAGCTCCTGCACCTGCCATTGCCTTGATCCTGTGCCAACTAGAATCCGTCCAGTCATCTTCCCTGCGCCGCGGAGGCTAAGGTGGTAGCTTTGCAGCCAATTAGAGCCAGCTAGCATTGCTCCGTTGCTTTTTGCAGTGACACCTGTGAACTCGCTGCTCTCTCTGATGCTTTTCTCCGCTGCTCCGAGGCTGCTGGCATCGTGCGAGAAACACTACCACGGCGGCTGTGTATTCAAGGCTGTGTATTTGCCTCTGTGGAACGACAGCGCAACAACAGACACAGATCCAAAATTGTTGCTATAAATGCAGCCTCCAAACTCGTTAGAGCCGGAGAATCTTTAACATGGCGAGAGATGAACAATGAGTTTATGTAAAGGAAGGGAAGGTATTTGGGAGGTGTGTGGGATAAAAGGTGCAGTTTTAAGAGAAATGTGTAAATGATCGCAAAACACAGGATTGTTTTTATATTCGGAATATTTTAAAATTGTCATCCAGGAGTAAAGGTCTCCAGGAGATTATGAGGGAGTGCATATTCTTACTGTAAGGTGGATCCTTTACGTAGTAGTAGTTTATTTGACCAGTTTTTACTATGTATTTTATATATAACTACTAGACTGGTCTCCTGCTGTGACTCTTGAGGAGCACAGGGACTGGCCTCCTGCTGTGACTCTTGAGGAGCACAGGGACTGGCCTCCTGCTGGGACTCTTGAGGAGCACAGGGACTGGCCTCCTGCCGGGATTCTTGAGGAGCACAGGGACTGGCCTCCTGCTGGGACTCTGAGGAGCACAGGGACTGGCCTCCTGCTGGGACTTTTGAGGAGCACAGGGACTGGCCTCCTGCTGGGACTCTTGAGGAGCACAGGGACTGGCCTCCTGCCAGGACTCTTGAGGAGCACAGGGACTGACCTCCTGCTGGGACTCTGAGGAGCACAGGGACTGGCCTCCTGCTGGACCTAGATTCAGGACTAAACATGTGGAGGCAGCGTTTCAGACTCATGCAGCTTAAATCTGGAACAGTCTTCCTTGAAAATGTGAGACAAGCTTCTTCTCTGACGATGTTCAAATCCAGGTTTATCTGTTGTACACTTTCTATACAGCGACCTAACTTCCCACAGACGTTCTAACTCTTTTACATGGTCAGGGATCCACCTTTAATCATTTTTCCATTAAAATTCTGGAAAAAACTCAAAATTCAGAAACAATTGTTTCAACTCATTTGTGACTTATGAGCCAATCCCAGGCAATATTTTGCTTCTAGTGGCACTGAAACCTTTCTCTGCTCAAAAAGGAATTCATTTAGCATTGAATTAATTTAGTTTTAACCCAGAGTTTGTAGTCTTTGGGGTAAAACTACTGAATGATTGCCGTCCTCTGCTCCTATATTAAAGATTTGGCTTCGCACCAATGTTCAGGGATCCCCCTTTAATCATTTTTCCATTAAAATTCTGGAAAAAACTCAAAATTCTGGAAAAAACTCAAAATTTTGGAAAAAACTCAAAATAAGGGCGACAGTAGCTCAGTTGGTAGAGCATTGGCCTTCAGGCCTGAAGGTCGTGGGTTCAATTCCCACCTCTACACCTTCTCCACCGACTCCCACTGATGACTGCTGCCGTTGTGTCCTTGGGCAAGACACTTAACCCCACTTTGCCCAAAGCCCCCACTGAAAGATCAAGGCTATGCTCACACTCAGAGAGCAGCCGTCCTCCTGTGGACTCACCACCTGCAGAGGGTCAGTGAGGGGCTGGTGCTATGAGACTTGGGTGGCATCTCTGACTGCCACCCCCCTGACCCAGAAATGGATTAAAGGGTAGAAAATGGATGGATGGATGGACCAATGTATACGGCAATAGTGGAAGTCCAAATATTAGCGATTGAAAAACACAGAACAGTATTTTGCATTAGACCTTTGACCAAATCCCACTGTATTATGTTAGATATTCTACACAGCTAACCGCGGATATTATAAAAGTCTTACCCTTGGAGTGTTTTAACCTTGCTCCGGGGAGAACACTTAAGACGAACGCATCTCACGCATTAAAATGTCAAGATTTCAGTAGATTTCTGACGTCTGGTTTCGTGAAATAATAGCTCAGAGCCATTTCAAAGATGTTGTAAGGTCCTAAGCCCTCAGCACATTAAATCATTACAAGAAACAGGAGAAAGATGAGGCTGCATTCACACAGCCCTGGTTCAGTGTATTAGGATGTGCTTTTTTTAGTTTTATGACAATTATGAATCCAAAAAACTGCACATACACAACACCAAATGTGACAAGTCTGTGGATATATGCAGTGGGGTTGTTTAAGCTGGGGCACTTACATTTCAAAACACAAAAATAGGGTTTGGGTTCTAGGTCCCCGTTCTCTAAACAAGTGAGTCACTATCAGTTTTCGGGCTGTATAGACAAAACAGTCTAAAAGAGAGGACCACAGCTGCAGCCAAATAAGACTCAATTGTTTTTTTCTTATACAATGCAAATATATGTTTTATCTCTCTATCTATACACATAGTTATATAGGGATGGATTGCTCAATATAGATAGATGATAGATAGATAGATAGATAGATAGATAGATAGATAGATAGATAGATAGATAGATAGATAGATAGATAGATAGATAGATAGATAGATAGATAGATAGATAGATAGATAGATGGGTGGAAGTTGGATAGATGGATGGATGGTTGGATGGGTGGATGTTGGATGGTTGGATGGATGGTGGATGGTTGGATAGATGGTGGATGGATGGATGGATGGATGGATGGTTGGATAGATGGATGGATGGGTGGATGGATGGGTGGTTGGATGGTTGGATAGATGGATGGATGGTTGGATAGATGGATGGTTGGATAGATGGATGGATGGGTGGATGGATGGGTGGTTGGATGGTTGGATAGATGGATGGATGGTTGGATAGATGGATGGTTGGATAGATGGATGGATGGGTGGATGTTGGATGGTTGGATAGATGGATGGATTGGTCGATGGATAGAGAATACATGTTTTGACTTAGAATTGTTCTCTTTGTTTTACTTTTAGCAGGTTTTACTTTTAGTCTTTCTGGTATTATTATTGAAACAAAAAAGTCCGTACCCCAGCTTTAAGATCAAATAAATGACCTCACTTTGAAATTCCTCTCTCAGCAGACAAACCACATTCTTATTCATTGATAAACTGTTTGATTATACCTTCTATTTGTCTGTTAAAATGTCAGACATGACCATAATAACTGGACAAGGCCATTTGCAGCAGTGGCCTTCTCCTGGTTCTTTGTTCTACTCCTGGTCTAGTCCAGTCTTTTGGGTGTAATTTTTATGTAATTCAATTTAATCTCATCTTATTTATTTTATATTTTCAGCTTTCTTCACTTGTTAGTTGACTTTTTATGCTTGATCCCCGACCTGGGACCTTAAAACAAGAGCTAGTATCAGACTTTTTCAGACGACCGACATCACCGTCAGATCTGAATCAGCTGTACTTGCTTGATCAGTTCCTCATCTCTCTGCCCTCTCCCTGCTTCTAATAATTAAAACCAATATCCCGCTGTTCCAAAACCCCTAGACAGATAATCTCTCTACAAAGCAAACACCCACCCAGATGCCGTCTTTAAGATAAATGCAAAAACAGACAATTGATGTGCTTAATATCTTTACAGCGCCTGAGAAATACAGCCGTGGTTAATGGAGCCATGAATTCTGGATTTGCGAAGGGGAAAAAAGGCATCTTTGTCTGGAGTCTGAATCTCCGGTCGTGCCTGGAGCTCCTTCCACTCTCCGGTTAATCCAGGCGGCGACGTTAGCAGCCTGTTGTTCGTCTGCTGGGTTTGTGGATCT